GATAGACATTGCAAATTTCTGTTAGAATGTCATGGCTACATAATCTTTTAATAAAAGAAGTAGTGAGTAGATATTTCCATGTCCAGATCTCTCACTCTCTCTGTCTCTCTGTCTCTCTTACTCATTCTCTCTCATCTATCTATCATCTATCTATCTATCTATCTATCTATCTATCTATCTATCTATCGTCTATCATCTACCTACCATCTATCTATCTATCTATCTATCTATCTATCTATCTATCTATCTATCATCTATCTATCTATCTATCTATCTATCTATTAATCTAGGGAAGAATACATTTGCAGTGATACATTGCATTTCACTCTGAATCTATGGGTTTCATATTTGTTTAGTTCCTCCTGGAATCAGTGAATCATTTGCCATAATGACAAACCTGGATTCCATTATCCTCCATAGTTTTATATATTTGATGAATCTGCCTTTTTGTGTGTGACTTCTTTTCATGCATTTCCAATCACAAATGCTCTCTTCACCCCACCCAAACTTTTAATCCATGTAGGCAATGGATATTCATGTCAGGCTACACCTCTGAGTGAACCCCAAGTCACCTTCCTTAGCTCCCATATCAGGTTAGGTGGTTTCTCATACACATGGATGCTTTCCTTCTTGTTTCATGTTTGACTTGGAGCCACCACTGGAGCCTCCATTATTCACGCCAATGTGTCGCTGTCACTTTGCTTTGCCACATCTAATGAGTTGAGTTATTCAAGAATAGAATGTGAAAAGGGGGAGTAAAGAGGCAGAAAAGGAAATGGAAAAGCTGTGTGTAGCTTATGATTTGAGCTGAATCTGATGTGTACATTTAGTATGCTACATTGTCAATTAAACTATCAGAATTTTTATTCAATATTGTGTGTGGTAAGACAGTTTGTATTTGAAGATTGGCTATATTAAAATATCAGATAACCTATTTTAATGCCTTCCAGGAAGATGGAATGAAAATACTGTTAAAACTATTATACTTAGAAGTTTTAAAATATTTTTTAATATTAGAAAACATGCTTCATATGTTCCTTCCAAGCAACATGAGCACAGTCATAGCAGATTAACTTTACCTATCTTTAAATAATCACATTAATTATTTCTTGTTAATTGACATTCTTTCTGGAGTGAGATGGAATATCAGCAGTGTTCTAATTTGCATCTCTAAAATGATCAGAGGTGTTAAAGATTTTTTTATGTATTTGTTTGATACTTATACTTCTAAGCAGTGCCTGTTCATTTCTGATGCCCATTTATAGATTGGGTTTTTAAATTTGGGAAAAATAGATGAAAATTGTAGGAAAAATTAGGTTCTTTTTAAGATCTCTTCTCTTGGAACAACCTTCAGAAGCACTTCTTTTTCGGGTTGAAGAAGTCCTTGTTTGCTAAACTTTATAGGTATCTGGAAGAGTGAAACAAACACATGAGGAAATAACCAATATTAAACCAACAATAGCAAAATAGAAAATGTACAGCAAAGACAGCAACTATTTACAAACACTTGAAAACTGTCATAAATACAATATACCTTGAATTGGCTATATATATATTTAAAAGTATGGCAAAATTGAAACAGTACCTCTGTTCATTTAAAATATACTTCATGAACACATGTTTTATACAAGGCCTAAGATAAAATCCTGTTGGTTTCTTTCAGTTTATGTATATAATTAAAGTAAATAACATAAGTTTGAGAATGTAAACTTGATCCTTAGACATTGTGGCAAACAATGTTTTGAAAATCATTAAAAAGTTAATTTAGTTTTAGCTGACACATACAAGGAAACCCTGATCAAGTATTATCCATTTCAAGTATATGAACAATCCTTCACTCCCAGTGTCTGGTAAGTTATATCATGTAAACCCATTCAGTTTGATAGGGCAAGGAAGCCTTCATGATACTTAATGCTCTGCTTTACTTTTCTGATATCTTCTTTTGTCTTTGAATGATAGTGTAAATGCTGAACTTCTGAGTCCCACAATTTTTAAATTATTTACACAATTATAAGTAGTCACATTGTTCAGGCTTGGGAAGGAGGCTCAAACATACTTTCTGATCTCAGTATAGGGAGAGGAAGCAAATCCTCATGAACTGTGAGAAATATTACCTCCAAATACTGGAAGCTTAGAGAAAGAATCTGCCTCACTTCAGAAGTGCCTCAGTGCATTCTATCTCAGAGTTAAGGCCCTGTATTTACACTTTCAGAGAATCTACACAGTTGTACTGAAGTCACAAATAAAATGAAACCAGCTCATTCTCTTCTCTCATGCAGAAACCCTGATGACAAAGAGGAGTTACTTATTCAATGTATGCATCTTGAGGGAGCTACTGTCATGAGGGAGCTTCCACAATCTGTGATAAGGAGAACACCATTCAAACATCATGACAATGGGATCATTGCACTTTATAATAGTTCACAATGGTCTCACTTTCAGGTCACTTAAAACTGAATCTAAGCATTTCTAAAGTGTAAAGAGATCACATATAATCATGCCATATCAATCTGAAGAGCATCTAGAAGATTTTTACACATTGTCTTCACTTGATTTTATCCAAAAGGCCGAGAAGTGATTACACTTTGTCTTCATAAAGCCACATATTCAAAACTCTAATAGTAAAGGAATTTAATATTGTATAATGGCCCCAGCCCATATAACAAAGAAATAAATAACAATCAACCATATACTTTTGATCTAAATGATACTCTAGGTTTAATATAATATTTCTTGGTAAATCCTTATTTGTATAGAAAGATTTGTCTCACCTGTGTTTCCTTACATGTTTGGAAGGAGAAGTTCTGTAAAACTCTGATGATAGCAAGTTTCATGTTTAGGAGAGCAAATCTCATGCCAATGCAGTTCCTGGGTCCAGTCCCAAAAGGCAGGTAAATATAGGGATCAATGTTGTTCTTGTTCTTCTTGCTGAATCTAGTTTCATAATGGTATATGAAAAAAAGTTAATAAACAAAAATGTTGCAATATTTAATGGTTGTAGAATGTCATGGAGAACTCTCTGCTCAAATAGTTATACACAGAAGGTTTTGATGGTTGGACATTGAAAATCCACTTTGCTTTTCTATGAGTTGCAAGCTACAGATCTTTTCCTTTAAAAAAAAAATACTAATTTTAATTAGAAAAAAAAGAAAAGCGATGAAACAGTTTCAGTACAGGTTAGTAGGATGTTTACAATAATTAATACATTGTATATTGTTGTTGTCTTTGTAGTAGTAATTCAGGGAACAAGATGCATACATGATACCTTGTCTAAACAATATTAGTAGAAACTTTTATTCTCAATGAACTAAGAGAAAGTAGCTGTATATCTATCCTAACTCTCTTGTGTATATATCTATATATATGTATCTATATATCTATATCTATATCAATATATCTATATCTATCTATTATCTATCTATCTATCTGTCTGTCTGTCTATCTATCATCTATCTATCTATCTATCTATCTATCTATCTATCTATCTTTTCAATTTTCCTCTCCCGACGGAGTTTTCAATCTTGTTAGCACAAGATAAATCTGTGAAAAAAATCAATTTTTCAGTACAAAAATGACATTCTTGTTCAGTAAGACACATTATAACATCCTTAGAAAAGACTCTGGCAGGGTGGTTTTATTATCCCAAAGCCCCTTTACCTTTCAGGGCAGAACTCCTCAGGCTCTTTCCAGTATTTGGGATCTCGATGAAGAACATAGATTGGTATCAAAACTAATGACCCTTTGGGAATGACCACGCCATTGATTTTAACATCTTTCTTACAAGTCCTCTCAAGTCTACCAGTAATTGGGTATAATCTGAGAATTTCATTCACTACCATGTCCAGATACTCCATCTGTACTAGGTCATTGTAGGTGGCAGGTTTCTGGAATGAAACAGATTTTCATGAATTAAGTTTTGGTATTATCTTTCAACTCAGGATATTCAATACTATTAAACTGTTAGGAAATGTGAAGAATAACTAACATTGGTAAAGAGCTTTATCACTGGCAAAACATTTAAATAGCTATCAGTTTCATTGGCCTGCTTCATAGCACATTGAGAAGGATATAATTGTGCATATGAGAGACCTATGATATCCTTTGGAACCCAGACCCTAAAATCTTCAACATTAACATGCACTACTTTTCTTTCTCATGTGAAAATACATGACAGATAGATTATAACAATTACACAAGGAAAACGTGCTGAAGTTTCTTATCTTTTAACAGAGATGCTACATGTCTATACTAAGAAAATAAAAGTTGCAAAATAGAAAATCTTTGTTCCTAGTTGAAAATTCCTGTATGTTTGCTTTTGACTGGATTGAAAAAATTGAAGAACACTTTAGTATATAAGAACAGCATAGTCTTCTTAATATGTAAGAATTGAGAGTTATATCATACATAAAACTCTATTGATATTTTTGCAGTGTAACTAGCACCTGCTTTCCCAATGTGACTTAAATTACAATTGGATGCTAACAGGGCACATATTTCAGTTACATTTTAAAGTTCTAAGGAGGATAGAACCCCAAATCACCTCAACCTTTGTAGTTAAAGAAGTTTCCTGCTTGGTGTTTCAGGACTTCACTGTGAGTTGAGAAGAATATGTTTTATGTTTACCTCACTGCCTAAAGAGCCATGTCAGCCCCAAGATTTTTTACTGCAAAAATATCAGTTTAGGCAGAGATATAAAAATGTATGGGAACTATGTGACTATTGGTTCATGTGACAGTGCAGAGACCATATTTTAGGCCAAGTGTTTGGGTCACAGGCCAGAAACTCTGGTTCATGACTTAGATTCTTCATCTCTATCTCTATAAGTGTGAAATGAAGATTTGTGTACAGATCTGAGTCAACCTTCCTACTCTAGGCAAAGCCAGCCTCATTCAGCATACAGACAGGTCAAAATATGACCAATAATATCTGTAGAGTCAAATAATCACACACCTCACTGAAAATGCTCATAAGTCTAGAGATGTAGATTTTCCTACTACATATTATTATCACAAGATAATGAATACAATAGACCAATGCACTCTAATGAAGATATTTTATTTTAAAATAATTTCCATGACATACATTTTCTTCTACATTTCATTTATTAATAGAGTGGTGAAAATAATTAATGCTTATTTTTTTGCGAACTATTCTAGAAGATGACTGCTATGGTTTTGTATCTAAATGCACCTTGTCAAAGCCTCATGCACTGATAGACGAGGATTTTAGAAGCTGGCTGCATCTAGAGTTTGTGATACCGGTATTAAGAATGTACAGTAATAAATTAGTCCATTAAATTGTTTAACATAGATCTGGGTATGAATAATTGGAAGGCCTAACTTGTGTGTGGATGGGACCACCAAAAAAGCTTTTAGCCTGGATGGGATAAAGCAGAAAGAAATGCTTTCTACTGCTCACTGTCTCCTGCATGTTCCATCGTGGACTGTTTCCTCCACTGCCATCCCCCTGTGTCATACCACTCTGTCTTGGAGCCAGCTGCCTACACACTGAACTCTCTAGAAACAGCGAGCTGAAATAAACCTTTCACCCTTAAAGCTCTAGGCATCAAGTATTTTGTAATAGCAACAAAGCAACCAAAATAGATTATGGTACTAGGAAAGTGGAATTTTTGTTGTGATGCCACTGGGTGCTGTAGTTCGGGAGCCTTTGTGACTAGCTTTGAAGAAGAACATAGAAAATTTTAATGTTGCTGGCTAAAGAAGTAGCCCAAGAATGCTGTGAGTCATGCTTGATGGGAGATTCTGGTCAGAGCTCAGAAGACCAGAATGCTGAATGCAATGCAACTATAAAAGATCAGGCTTAGTTGGCAGCTATTGAGAAGGATTCTATTGGCAGCTGGAGTCCAGATTATGTGTGCTGTGCCCTGTCTGACTATTTTTCAGTTTTTCACCTGTACAGAGACTGCTGAAAATGAGATTAAGTGTGGTAGACTTATCTGGTAAAAGAAGTTTCAAGGCAGTCAATGTTGAGGCATGTCTACTATTGAGAATATTTAGCAGATCTACCCTAAGAATCAAGGGCAAAAAGCCCAGAAGAAATATTTTAAAAATTTTAGATTTGGCCTGAAAGGAAACTCTAGAAATGGTATAGACTGCAAAGTGTAGCAGAGAACTTTGTTGCTGAAAGGATTGGCATAAAAAAGCTAAGTACTCTGAAACTCGACAATAGAAACATACGGACATCACAATAACCAACAAGGCTGCACCATTTGCAGCCTCAAATTTCTAAGGTTAAAGACTGCTTTCAAAAGAGACTCCTAGCGAACCATGTTTCAGAATGGCAGCAGACTTTGGCAATCACATGGTTCTTGTTTTTAGATGCATGCAAAATGCAAGTGGTGTCCAACTAATAAAGCTTCCACCTAGATTTCAGAAAAATGCCTAGGAGGGTAGGCAGTGTATCTCTGAGACTGCAGTGTGTGAAGCTGTGAGTGTGAAGCTGAAGGTGCAGTACACACCCCAGAAGGTTGGAGATGCCAGTAATGTGGATCTTTTGCAGAAAGTCTCAAGTTGTGAGCAAAGCCAGCTCACAAGAGAAACCATGAGAACTGCAACCATCAAGTGTCATGGGGGCAGAGCCACACCAACCTTCTGTTCATATTGCGTATTACACAGGATGCTAGACAGGGATCTACAGGATTTAATGTTTATCCTGATGGATTTTTGACTTGCTCTAGTTTTGTCTAGTGGTTCTGAGATCTACAGGTAACCCAGTTCTCACTGGGGCTTATCTTTGTATAAAGAGGAAGAGGAGTCAGAGGAGACCAATGCAACTTTTGTTATAGGTATTGTAAGAGGCAATACAAAGCCACTCCAGTGAAGGAGTAGTAGTGCTCAGAACTGAGTAACCACTGAATCTGGTGCTTTGCTCTTCTTTTGTGGGGTCAAGGTCATATTTCTTGTTTTATTGGCTATTTGGCTTGTTACTAGGTTTGATCTTGTGAGCTCATAGGGTAATTTGGGTAGGTGTGGCAACCTGCACTAGGAAGAACAGGCAACCTGCACTTACCTGCACATAGGCAGATGCAAAAACCACAAGCTGTCACATTCAAACCACAAAGCTTCCTGTAAAGTGCTTGTTTCTCATAACCACACAGAACTTGCATTCTGTAACCTCTAAAAAGGGCTTGGTTCTGTCTCTACACTTTGGTCCCATTTTATTCTCTCCCCTTATTTTGGAATGGAAATATTTATCTTGTACCATTGTATACTGGAAGTGTTTGATTGATTTATTGATTTGGACAAGGGCATCAAGATAAGGATTTGTGAGTAGGATTTTCTGCCGAGTTCCGGGAGCCCCCAGACACAGTCCTAGCCAGGTCCAGCACAGCTCAGGCCTGGCATAT